ATTCCCTTCCCTCTCCCCTCTGGTCACTGTCCCCTTGTTCTCTATTTCAGTGTCTTTGTTTTTAAGTTGCTTGCTTGTTTGTTTTGTTGTTTAGTTTCTTGTTAAAGGTGAGATCATATGGTATTTGTCCTTCAATGCCTGGCTTATTTCACTCAGCATAATGCTTTCCAGTTCCATCCATGTCGTTGCAAAGGGTAGTAGTTCCTTCCTCTCTGATGCATAGAATTCCATTGTGTATATGTACCACAATTTTTTGATCCATTCATTTACTGATGGGCACCTAGGTTGCTTCTAACTCTTGGCTATTGTAAATTGTGCTGCTATGAACATTGTGATGCATAGGTTCTTTGAAATTGATGTTTTATGATTCTTAGGATATAATCCTAGCAGTGGAATTGCTGGGTCAAAAGGCAGGTCGATTATTTATTTTTCTGAGAAAATTCCATACTGTTTTCCATAATGGTTGTACCAGTCTGCAATCCCACCAACAGTGAACTCCCACAGGTGTTTTCAGTGGGTGTTTTGAGGCTTCATTTTCTCCACTCTGGGACCCTGGGTTTTGTGGTCTGTCTCACTCCCCAGTTTCACCTGGTTTATTTACATACAAGTTTGGGATCTCCTGGTCTGCCAGCCACCTTGTGCACTGTGCTCCTCAATAATCTACCTCCTCATAGGGTCTACCTGCTGCTGCCTTGTGTGCCTGGGGTCTGCCAGCTGCTGCCTTGTGTGCCCAGGGTCCACCAGCCACTGCTTTGCCTCAGTCCCTCTCTGCCCAGATGCCCGACTTTCCCCCTCCTATCGGTCTGGATGAATGTGTCTACTTTAACTTTTTGGTTGTTGGACTTCTATACAATTCAATTTTCTTTCAGTACTGGTTGTTTTTTGTTTTTAAATTATTGTTGTCTTTATTTTGGTTGTGTGAAGAGGCACAGTGTGTTTACCTATGCCTCCATCTTGGACGGAAGTCCTCTAGTTCTAGAGGTTTTGAGGCTTTCCCTGTGCTGGAACCTTGGTTGTGTAGTCTATCTTGGTCCCCAGTTGTTCCTCCTGGTTATCTGTATGGAAATGTGGGACCTCCCTGTCTACCAGTCTTTGTCTCCCCCACTCCCTCTCATCTGATCCTCTGCCTGCTGTGTTGCCACACATCCTTTGTACCCCAGGTGCCTGTCTCTGCCCCTCTTACTACTCTAAATGAATGTGTCTTCTTTAACTCCTTGGTTGTTAGACTTCCATACAGTTTGATTTCCTGGCAGTTCTGGTTATTTTTGTTTTGAAATTTGTTGTTATCCTTTTTTTTGGTTGTATGAGGAGGAAAAGTGTGTCTACCTATGCCTCCATCTTGTCTGGGAGTCCCTCTGAGAAAGTCAGAATTTGAACACAGCTCTTCTGATTCCAGATGTGCTAGAAATAAGGTGAAAGAGGAATCAGGAGATTCGTTGAATAAATTGGAGTTGTGGAAGGAGATATTTAGAGTTGGATTTTGCAGTAATATACTTGATATCCTTATCTCCATTCTACCCCTTTTTTTCTCATTCATGTTACATACTGTTCACATTCTTTTCTATTATGCTCATTATCTTTATTATGATATCACCATTGTTAATAAAATTCACTTGGATATTGAGTAATCTTAATTAGAATAATGTCATGTATCAAGTTTTTAAAATGTTAAAACATTTTTTATCCATCTATTTCAACCCTTCTAGAAATCTTGATGTCATCTTTCATCCTTTCTTTACCCTTCACCTCTAATTATTTCTTGAACTTTACCTCTGAACTATTTCACAAATCTATTACCCTTCCCCCCTTCCTGCAGCCTTGCTTGGTGCCCAACGCTCTTCATATCTTGATGGATGGTCACCAGCCTCCTAAAGGTTCTGCCACTATCTCTTCTGTGAAAATTGATTCCTCTACTTTAAATAGTCCATAAAATTGGGAGGAAGACATTACATCTTTATTTTCACTAATTGCTAACTGAAAATTATTATTTCCTTTCATTGTGAATAAGGCAACAAGGTATCATAATATTAGCAGTTCTGGTGACTTGGTCACCAGTGGAAAGCAGATACATTTTCAGATCACATTACAGTTGTTGAAAATAACTTGAATATCATCTATCCTATGATGCTTTGGCATACTTTGAAATTATACTAATGTTAACTATTCTGTCCCATCTTGTTATTTAATGTATTAATGATGCACATATATTATTTCATGGTTTTAAAATACTTTGATTAAAATATGTCCATATAGTTGGTTTTGTAATACTATTTCATTTTGTGCATTTAAAATACTATTCTGTCATAAAAATAGTCTAGAATTAGATAATGGTAATAGTTGCAAATCTTTGTGAAATACTAAAAACACTGAATTGTGCAATTTAAAAGGGTGAATTTGAATTTCGTGTAGGTTAATTATAGCTCAATGAAACTGTTACAAAAATACTGATCTGGGGGACTTCTGGCCAATATGGAGGTGTAGGTAGATATACTTTGCCCCCTCACACAAGCAAAAGAAGGGTAACAACAAATTGTAAAACAAAAAATAACCAGAACTGCCAGAAAATTGGAATGTATAGAAGTCTGACAACCAAGGAGTTCAAAAAGAAGCATTCATCCAGACCAGTAGGTGGGGCGGAGACAGGCAGCTGGGGGTGGAGAGGACTCCCAGCAAGGTGGCAGCTAGCTGAGGAGACAGTCCCACATTTGTGTGTGAATAAACTGGGAGGAACAACGGGGACTGAGACAGACCAAGCAACCCAGGGTTTCAATGCAGGGAAATAAAGCCTCACAAACTCTGACTGAAAATAGCAGCGGGGGTTGAGGTGGCAGGAGAAACTCCCAGCCTCATAAGAGAGTTCATTGGAGAGACCCACAGGGTCCTAGAATGTACACAAACCCACCTACATGGGAATCAGCACCAGAAGGGCCCAATTTGCTTGTGAGTAGTAGGAGAAGTGACTGAAAGCTGGTGGAGAGCCAAGCAAGCAGTATTGTTCCCTCTCAGACCCCTTCCCACATACAGTATCACAAAGCAGCAAGATGGATTATCCTGCCCTGGCAAATACCAAGGCTCTGCCCCTTACTATATAACAGGCTTGCCGAGACCAAAAAATAAAAAGCCCGAGTGAAAGAACAGATCAAATCTCCAGAAAAAAATATAGCTAAGATAAAGATGATAGAATCTTAAAAGCAGGAAGAGAAAAGGTGACAGATACCTACAAAGGAGTTCCCATAAGACTTTCAGTTCATTTCTCATACGAAACCTTGCAGGCAAGAAGGGGCTAGAAAGAAGTATTCCAAGTCATGAAAGCCAAGGACCTACATCTGAAATTACTCTATCCAGCAAAGCTATCACTTAGAATGGAAAGGCAGAAAAAGTGTTTCCCAGATAAGGTCAAGTTAAAGGAGTTCCTCATCACCAAGCCCTTATTATATGAAATGTTAAAGGGAGTTATTGAAAAAAGATATTATCAAAAATAGGAACAGTAAAATGACAAGAGACTCACAACTATCAACAACTGAACCTAAAAAAAAAAATCCCAAAAAACAAAAACAAACTAAGCAAACAACTAGAAGAGGAACAGAATCACAGAAGTGGAGATCACTTGGAGGATTATCAGCCAGGAGGGGGTGGAATGGGGGCAAAGGTACAGGGAATAAGAATCTTAAGTGTTAGGTACAAAATAGATGGGGGGAGTTTAAAAATAGTATGGGAAGCCCTGGCTGGTATAGCTCAGTGGATTGAGCATGGGCCTGTGAACCAGACAATCGCGTTTCGATTCCCAGTCAGGGCACATGCCTGAGTTGCAGGCTGGTTCCCTGCAGGCCAGTTCCTAGCAGGGGACACACAAAAGGCAACCATACATTGATGTTTCTCTCCCTCTCTCCTTCCCTTCCCCTCTAAAGATAAATAAATAAAATCTTTAAAAAAAAAAGTATGGGAAATGGAGAAGCCAAAGAATTTAAATGTATGACCCATGGACATGAACTAAGGTGGGGGGGGTTGCTGGTGGGTGTACAAGAAATAGGGGACTAAAGGGGAGAGAAAAATGGGACAACTCTAATAGCATAATCAATAAAATATATTTAAAAAGTACTATTCTGATAATGGGTAAGTATGCTTTATCAGACCATGCATCTATTATACTTAAAGGATTATAAATCCCTTCTCTTTGTTTGGAAATATATTCCCACCCCTAATTACTACCTAGAAAACTAAACATTTTTTTCTGCAACCTTAGTGAAATATTTTCTTAAGAAAGCCTCTTCCAACCTCCCTGGGAGTTTCTTTTTGTGTGTCCTTAGTAATGGTTAGATATGTCTTTTATAGTTTAATCCCAGTGTTTATTAACTTGGTTGACTATGCCTTCAGTATTGGCATCATGATGTGATATGTTTTTGTATCTCTAGCACTTGGTATAATGCCTGTCTTATGGATGATCTACTGATGAGTTAGCGAATAATGAGGCTTTAGTGTGGCATAAAAAATATATTAGGATGAGATTGTTACTGAGGGAAGGAAAGAAGAATCATTTCTTTTTTTCCTGAAAAATTTTGTTAATCTGTTAATTTCCTGAAATTAGTTAATAGTCTGTGCTTTCTAAAAAGTACTTAAGTGTTTTTGCTAAGGTCTTATTTGGTCAGCAGTCAATCATGTATTCAACCATACCTCCCTTTCCTTCAGAAATATTAAAATTCGATCAGCAAAATTCATCAGTCTGTACATTTAAAATGTGTGTATTTTAGTGTATTAAAATTATCTGAATAAAAAACTAGAAAAAATTTGATACAGGAAAGAGAAAAACATCTAAATTGCATAATGACTGATGGATTAAATTACTGATCTAACAATCAAAGCTACATGTTTTGTAGAAATGAAATCATGTTTTATATTTAATATACTGTACAGCATAAAACATAGTTCTAAGAAAATACAGTGTTGTCAAGAAAATGTAATTTTGCCATCTTTGGTACATGTGTGTTGTTTTTTTCTTTTAGATTCCAGTATAGTCAGTGATGTTGTACTTCAAGACTTACTGGCATATGTATCTTCGAAACATTCCTATCTCAGAGATCTTCCTCAGAGGCACCCTCAGAAAATAAGCAGTATAGAATTTGTAGAATTGGAGCAGCTTCAGCCTGATGTGTTAGTCCATGCAGTACTAAGAGTCGTTGATATCACTACACTGACAGGTAATCATTTTGGGCACCTCCTAATTTTAGATTATAAAATAATTAAGATACAAGACCTTGGTGTACAATTTGTTTATCATTATATCTTTATCATTACACATTAAAATATGGTGTCACATGTGATAGAGTAAATAAAATACTCATTTTTCTTTTCCAGAGGCATTATATAGTTATAGAGGAGAGAAGCAAAGGAAAGTTGTGTTAACGGTGGAACAGGCCAAAGGTCAACATTATGTGCTTGTATTATGGGGTCATGGAGCAGCCTGGTATCCCCAACTTCAAAGGAAGAAAGGTAAATAAGACAAAAAGCATTTAATCTGTTTATAGTTAGGTAAATGTTTAATGCTTATGAGCCTAAGACAAAGAGACTTTTAAGAGATTTATATTAGATTTGAAATATAAGAGATCATGATTAAATATTCTTCTATTAGAACATTTCTTCCATTATAATTTTATACCTCCTGTAAGCAAGTAAGTAATCTAAAAAGTCCTCTGCAGTGGGTGCTCTCTTGAGCACGCCCACACCTTTATTCCCTCTCAGGTGTGCATCTTTACTTTTCTCTCTTAAATTCTAAGGAAACCCACAAGGGGAATACCACAAGAGGTAACCAAGACAGCAATATTCAGCGGCAGCTCTTCCCTGGCTAACCCCCTGTACCAGTATCCAAGGCCCCCTTTTCTCTGAGTTTTCAGTGAGCTAACAGCAGCTCCACCTTGGTTCACTTTTTCCCCATAATGTTTCTGGAGAGTCAAAGCAGAGCACCACTTACTTAGGCTCTCTTCTGTTACTTCTGCCTTCTGCCCTTCCTTGTTTCACTGCCCCAGTTTTAATGAATGTACTTTTTTTAAAAGATTTTTATTTATTTATCTTTAGAGGGGAAGGGAAGGAGAGAGAGAGAGAAATATTAATGTATGGTTGCCTCTCTTGCGTCCCATGCTGGGAACTGGCCTGCAACCCAGGCATGTGCCCTGACGGGGAATTAAACCTCGATCCTTTGGTTCACAGGCCCGAGCTCAATCTACTGAGCTATACCAGTCAGGTGAATGTACTCTTAAAAGAAGTCAATAAATAAAGTTAATTGTGGTAAAATAAAAGCTTCCATTTATCCCCAGGTATGCTACTTTACCATTTTAGCAAAGATCTTATCTCCTTCAGATAATGTTCTTTAAACATTTAATTCTGGAGAAACTTGTTCAATTTTTATTCAAAGTATCCTGATAAATAAACTTCTCTCTGGTTATAAGGCAGATATTAGGGTAGTTGCATTAACTTTTTCAAATTACAGTGTTACTGTTTACTAAATTATTGTATTCCATGTTTTTATTTTAGTTATTTTAAATGTGTAGACTATTAGCCATCCATAGAATGTTTATGTTTAAAATATGACCCATGATTACATTTTTCTTTAAAGCATAAATTAATAATTTATGATGTATTGAATGAAATGGAATTGATTTTTCAATAATATAGTATATTTTCTTTTTGATTTATGACATCCTTTAATTGTAACAATGACATTATAATTAGTGGCTCTTAAATTATTTCACCCTGCTAAATTCATTCAGAGATTAAGTGTGTGTTTCATTCTTTTTTATCTGAAAGAGTTAATTTTCTTCTTGAACTTCTACCTACAAAATAGTTACCTAAAGATAGAATCTGTCACATTGTCTCTCATAATCATTAACAGCCTATTACTAGGACTTGAGATAAGTCCAACTTTTGACTTTTATGTTAGGATGAAAGAGTGACAAATATTTGTTTGGTTGAGAAATCTGACAGATGTGTCAATGACAGACTAACCATCGTTCCTGACCACCATTTCCATAGTCAGAAGCATGAGTCCAGTGCTTGCTGATCAAAATGTAGGTAAAAGGTATTCCAATTCTAAATAGCAAAGCAGACTACTCCATCCTTAATGTATTCTTTTAAAGTGAATAGCAGTTTGGTTGATAAAATAGAAATGATAGTTGTCTCAAGATAATTTTATGGTATTTAGTTTAATACTGAAATTTTATGAATCCTGAAATTAAGATGTAGTTGTTCTTTGTTTACATTGGCATACTTTATTAATAATCATAATTTTTAAGTTTTCATATTCACCTCAATACCTTAAGATTATTCTCTTAAAAAAGGGAATACCAATTTCAAATGGTCGTTTAAGTAAGTGGTTTCTACTTTTAAAAATTGTTAGCATTCTATTTATTTATTATTTCTTTTTTTTTTAAGATTGTTACCTTTTTTTTAAAGGTATCCCTAATATCTCCTAGTGACTCTCAGTCAGGGAGATCCTAAAGGAATTTTCTTTTTTTTAAATATATTTTATTGATTATGCCATTACAGTTGTTCTATTTCCCCCCTTCATTCTCCTCCACCCTGCACACCCCTCCCCCACCACTCCCCCCTTTACTTTATGACCACATATCTCAAGTTCTTTAGATTCTATATTTCCCTTACTATTCTTGCCCTCCCCCTATCTATTTTCTACCTACCATCTATGCTACTTATTTTCTGTACCTTCTCCCCCATTCTCCTTCTCCCACTGCCCTGTTGCTAATCCTCCATATGATCTTCATTTCTATGGTTCTGCTCCTGATCTAGCTGTCCTCTTAGTTTGCTTTTGTTTTAGGTGTGGTTGTTAATAACTGTGAGTTTGCTGTCCTTTCACTGTTCATCTTTTTTACCTTCTTTTTCTTAGATAAGTCCCTTTAACATTTCATATAATAAGGGCTTGGTGATGATGAACTCCTTGAATTTGACCTTATCTGAAGAGCACTTGATCTGCCCTTCCATTCTAAAAGAAAGCTTTGCTGGATAGAGCAATCTTGGTTGTAGGTCTTTGGATTTCATGACTTGGAATACCTCTTTCCAGCCCCTTCTTGCCTGTAAGGTCTCTTTTGAGAAATCAGCTGACAGTCTGATGGGAACTCCTTTGTAGGTGACTGTCCCCTTATCTCTTGCTGTTTCTAGGATTCTCTCCTTCATTTTAATCTTGGCTAATGTAATTCTGATGTGCCTTGGTGTGTTCCTCCTTGGGTCCAACTTCTTTGGGACTCTCTGAGCTTCCTGGATTTCCTGGAAGTCTATTGCCTTTGCGAGATTGGGGAAGTTCTTCATTATTTGTTCAAATAAGTTTTCCTCTCGTGGCTGTTTCTCTTCCCCTTCTGGTACCCCTATAATTTGGATGTTGGAACGTTTGAAAATGTCCTGGAGGTTCCTAAGCTTCTCCTCGTTTTTTTGAATTTTTGTTTCTTCATTCTTTTCTGTTTGGTCATTTTTTTCTTCCTTCTGGTCCACTCCCTTGATTTGAGTCCCAGTTTCCTTTCTGTTACTATTGGTTTCCTGTGCATTTCCCTTCATTTCAATTAGTTTAGCCTTCATATGTTCCTCTAATTTGTGACTAAAATCAACCAGTTCTGTGAGGATCCTGATCACCAGTGTTTTGAACTGTGCATCTGAAAGTTTGGCTATTTCTTTGTCACTTAGAGTTATTGGCTCTGGGGCTTTGAGCTGTTCTTCTTGAGCCATAATGTTTTGCTCTATTTGCGACTGTTTCATATGAGGAGCGGAGCTTTAGTTGTTCACCAGGGCAGGGCCACCCAGGTCACTGGTTTGTGATGCTGTATGTGGCGGTGGCGTCAGAGAGGGACAATAGCGGTCCCCTCTGCTGCTTCCTGCCGCTGGGGCCTACACGGTCTGTCTCACTGCTCGCTTATTCACCAGTTATCTGCGTGCGAATGTGTGACTGCTGCCTTGTGTCCTCAGTGGGTCCACTGCCTTGCGCCCTCAGTGGGTCCGTCTGCTGCTACTCCACACCTGGGATCTGCCCACTGCCTGTGCACCTGGGTCTCGCACCTGGGTGGGTTTGGTGGATCTTTCCTCTGCTGCTGTCTCTGCCCTTCTTACTGGTTTGGCTGAAGGGTTTGTTGTTGTCAGACTTCTGTATAGTTCAGTATTCTGTGGTTTGGCTGCGTTTTTGTTACTAAAACTTTGTTGTTTTTAAATTTGGTTGTGCGAGAAGGCAAAGTGTTTCCACCTACGCCTCCATCTTGGCGGAAGTCCTATTTATTATTTCTTGAAGCATTCTCTATTAACCTTCCTTTGTATTGCGCACTGGTTTTACTTGTTCCCAAGGATTTAAAAAAATTCACATTTAGGTGATATAATCAGAAAGAATTATATTGAATCATTATTGATTCAGTCATTATTGAATACTGAAGGTAGCAGAGTTGATGTTTCAGGGAAGAATAACAAGAAATTCCAAGTTCATATTTGGTATGTCTCATATGTAGCAAGCATTGGTCACAATTTGTGTCCTAATGAGGGTGTGGACTAGAGACCTAAATTACATTTAAGAATTATTGGGAACACATAAAATAAGCTATTCAGAACTAAATGTTATTCCAATGCAATATTGTCCTGAAATAATGTAATAGAAGTCTAACATTTAAAAAATAACATTGTAATAAAGCACTGTCATGACATTACTAATTAAGCACAGAGTAAATGCAAATAATCCCAATATCTGTGGTTATACTTAATGCAAAATCATAGTTATGTATGCATGGAGGTTTGGAATTCATTCAGACTTTTAAAAAAATCTAAATCATTTTTTATTTTTCAGTTACAGTTCACATACAGTATTGTATCATTTTCAGGTGGGACCCCACTGATTAGACATTACACAAATTACTAAGTGATCATCCAATAAACCTTGCACCCATCTGACACCATGCGTATTTATTAGAATAGTCCCTATGCTGTACTTCACAACTCCATGACTATTCTGTAACAACTAATTTCTACCTCTTAATCCCTTTACATTTTTCACCCATCCCCCAGTCCTCCTCCCAACTGTCAACAGTCAAAATTAAAATTTTCTCTTTATCTATGAGTCTATATCTGTTCTGCTTGTTTATTTGTTTTGTTTTTTAGATGCAGTTGTGATAGATATATATTTATTGCCATTTCACTGTTTTTAAAAATCTTTTTCCCCTTTTTTAAAAAAAGATTTTGTTTATTTAATTTTAGACAGGAAGGGAAGGAGAAAGAGAGGGAGAGAAACATCAGTGTGTGGTTGCCTCCTACTGGGGACCTGGCCTGAAACCCAGGCATGTGCTCTGATGGGGAATTGAACCAGTGACCCTTTGGTTTGCAGGCCAGTGCTCAATCCACTGAGCCACACCAGCCAGGGTTTGTTTCCCCTTCTTAAAGAAGATCCTTTAACATTTCATGTAATATTGGTTTGGTGATGATGAACTCCTTTTTAGCTTTTGCTTGCCTGGGAAGCTCTT